CTTTCGTACATTCGGACTCGGTACTTTCTTGGGGCAAGTCTGGTAGCATCGTCACCAAATTGTCAGCAAGGGGGCGAACCTTCACTCCGTAGCTGGAATTCATCGGGTCGTAGACTAACACGTCCTTACATGTCAGGTCAATCATGACGGAGCACCAGTGATTCTTGCCGCAGATGATCGGAAATAAAATCTTCTCAGCCGTCACACCGACAAACGTACGCCCTTCATCTTATTGATCGATAAATAGCCATTCATAACGTTCCCCGCGATTGACGTGTCGACTCCAATCATGTCGACGCTTTCTGCAAACAGCTTCAGCACTAACGTGTTGACGGTGCAGTTACCCAAGGGCGACTTGCCAACGAGCTCCAGCGCTTCAGCCTATATTCAAGAAGATGTTATCAACGTAAGTAAATCCATTGTATCAATAAATGTACGCTAACTTTACCTGCACGGACAGAAGTGGGATGGCCTTCAGCTTAGCAAGTATATCTGGGTATATATCAACTTGGAAATGTTCGGTCATCTGTAGAGCGAAATCAATAGTCTCGATCCACTTTATAGCTTTGTCCACGTGTTGTATATTTTTCATCGCCCTGTACCACTTTTTCATAACACCCAACGTCTCGGTAGTGTATGTTTTAACACCGATTACTTCGACCGCAATTTCTTGCTCGCTTAGATTTGCACCCGATGAATCTTTATGTTTCGTCTGCAGGGCTGAGACTTTGGCGCTGCACTTCTCAATGAAGTATTTGCGCAATACACGGGTTATGGATTCCACAGAATTTTTTTCTTCGCCGGTGGTAAGCTCGCTCTCTCGTGGGCTACTGGAGCCCTGTGAATTTTACTGAGCTCATACAGCTTGAATCGCGATAGGGTAGCGGCAGATGTATCGTATGTAGGCACCTTTGCAACAGCATCTCGCACAGTAGCCAGGCTCAAATTCGCTGCGTACAAGTCTGGGTTCTCCTGCACGATCGTGGCATTCTTTCGACGAGCAGCTTTCTTCGACTTCGCTGTTTGCTTTGGGCGCCCGCGGGATCTAGGAGGGCTCGCTACGTGAAATTCATCATTCCCTACTTCTCAAAGAGTCGATGTCAACTCTCGGGTTTTCATTCAATATGTTTGCCAGATTGGGTGCCAGATTCGCCAGACTGAGTGCCAGACTCGCCAGACTTGGCTGTTCTTAATGACTGAACTCGCTTCAGCGGGCTGGGTACATGTAGAAGGAGGAGAGTCTGATAGCTGATCGTTTTTTATGGATAAAGTGCCGAAATCACAATGCTTGTCGACGAGCAACGTCCTTCAGATATTCCATCGCTTCTCGGTATTGTGCCATTCCCAATCCAGACATCGAACCACCAATTTTACTAGCGAAAGGCAGCGCCTCACGATACTTGCGGTTTGAGTCCCAAGGTCGATCATCCGTCGCCACAACCCGACGAATAGCGAAAGATGCCATCGACGCACAGCTATCACTTGAGCTCTCGAACTCTATCGAGACCTAACAGAAGACAATATCCACCGACGATTGAGAAGTTGTGTCGGGATAACAGTGTCGTTGCCGAGTGCTCTTCTCAGAAAGAAAACATGACGATACGGCAGCAAACGCGTGCTCATAAAGAGGAACGAAAAAGTCCAGTTGGTCTCAGAAACATTATACTCGGTCTCACGCTCGGCAAGGGCATCTTCCTCGGTGCTTGTGCTCTTTACAATATAGACGCCCAGGCTCCGCTCCGAAAACTCGTATGATGCACGGCCAAGTGCGTATACGTATTTGTTCTTGTATCAGCTCACATACGTGTTCGCTGACAAGATTAGCCACGAGAGTCATTTCTGGATCGTATCCAGCATGCTGAATGTTAACCTTCGTGTAGACTTCATCCATGAAGCGTCGTTCTTGAAGCGTTTGATAGCACATAATAGACGCAATGCATTCGTCCACAGCCATGAACGAATTGTCCCACTCATCCAACTGCTTCCAGGATGCCTCCAATCGATTATTGGTGTTATTGCCGAGATTGACGGTGTTTTGCCATTTGTGTGCACACCATAACTTACGACAATTATCCCATTTGTTGATGAAATAGGCAGCAAATGGGTGGGTGGTGGGTTCATTTGTCGCACCAACCAAATCCGCGGGTTCAGCAGAGTGGAGCAAGATTTTGTCCGACTGGAGCCAGATTCGCCCCGACTGGAGAGGATTTCGATCTGTTTGTAACACTATCCTGCCCGATTGAATCTGAAGACTCCGGCCTTGAGCGACCAAGCTCGCGCACATGCAGCAGGTACCGGAAATGCCCCATGTACGCCTTCTCTGTCTTTGCGTAAACCAGAAGGTCCATGAGCCCTCGCAGCTGATCCCTCTCCCACGTGTTGCAGCCGTAATCCGATGGTGCGATTGCCTTCCTCAAGTACTTTAAAACGTGAAACTGTCAGAGTAGAATAATGACGCCGGGGAATGCTGTCTTCAAAACAGAAAGCTCTGTGAAATCCTTGTCCATGATCACGGACTGAAGACGCGTTCAAGCCGGATTATTCGTCATATATTCTTCCAGTGCAGTCAACAATGTTCTCCACTACTCGCTGTGGAGTAGGGCATGCTGCACAAACTGGCCTTTTCTAAAAGTGTCGTGTGCCATGAAAGAGAAGACCTTGTACTTGGATCGATTGGTTCCATGCGCTACGCCAACTAGAAGTACCTCCGGAAATTGAGTGAAGATCGACCGCATGTGTTTGGTTTGAAGCGTAGTACAGGTTGCCAATTTCTAACATGATGAAACGGTTAGATAGGCAATAATGAAATAAAATTTATACACATAAACGTCGTATATCATACCTTTTCTCCCACATCGCTTACGAAGATGCACTCCACGTTGCCAGGAACATCACCAAATTCGGACATCCACTTCTTCAACCGCTTTGAACTAGAGGTTGGGTTAATCCTTGTTCGCGAGCCTTCAATTTGCGAACCAAATTATGAACATCATGCGGCTTCGGATTGCTATCGGAATTGTGCTCGATAAATCTGAAAGTGCTTGTCTTTTTCGCGCCAGCCTTGCGGAGCTCGTCTACTGTCTCTAAAGCACTCTCATCGAGGGACACCCGGCTAGACGTGTGGCATTTGAAATCGTACTCGTTCAATGTGTAAGGTGGCACTTTGTAATCATTAGAGCAAATGTATGGGTAGCTTTGTTGATCTCTTGAACGCACACATTGGTCTGAAAAAACTCAGTTTGCCAGCAGATATTAGCAAATTTGTTCGCTCAAACCAGTCAATGCCCAATCAAATCAGACCATGCCAAATTTAACCAGACCATGCCCGAATGAATATGGCTTCGCCCGATTGATCATGTATCTTTCGCAGCACACCCGACATCCATTTATGCAGCAGCAACATACCTAGGCAGAGCATCCAGAAGCTCGATTCTCCTGACGAGGCCTCTTACTTGTGGCTTGCGTACACACGTATGTTTTTGCGTACTGGCCCCACTCGTCGGGAATCTTACACGCCTTTGATCCCTGGGCATCTATCCGAGCATTCCGTACTGGAGTTGAGGTGCTCGTTCTGGTACAATATTGTATCGATAACATGCCAACCAATTCGCTTAAAATAACACTGAATTTAACTAGAAATTCCACACTGTACCTGGAACGACCGAGCTTGGTACTGCGCGAAGTATGCCTCGAATTCCTCCCACGACCTGAGCTGCGTCTCCCCGGAGGCGGAGCGATGACACAGACTGGTCCGGTTTCCTCGCTAGCGCTACTCGTCTCCGTCGTGTCCACACGAGGTGGGCTTAGTGACGGCTCCCACTCACTCAAAGGGCCGCCAGATGCGGCGCTGTCACTGGTATCGTCACTGGCGTCTGCCAACAGGGGCGCTTAGGAGCGCTGCGTGGGCGCGGCAGCATTTGGGTCCGTTGGCGCCACAAATTTGCTGGAGGGGGAGGATTATTTGTGTGGGAGGGGTATACGCAGAGTATACGCTGGACCCAGTTCGGACATGGAAGATATCAGCAAATCCCAGCAAATTCGAAGATAACATGAGATTTGCTGTGAGTGGGATGCTCCCAGTCTGGCAAAATATTTGCTCTCTTTCGCTTACACTCTCACTTGTGCACCAATTTTCTGCAAGTTCAAGTGCTGAGGGAGCTCAATAATTTATTGAAGCTCAGCCAGAGCTAAACCCAATTATTATTTTCAGCTTTAATATTGTACGCACTGACAAAAACAAAAGCAATCTGCTATTAAGAAAACCACCTTAAGTACGAAATGCGGCTACGTTCTGGGCCGTTTCGAAATAGCGGGAAATTTGAATTTGACCTCACTGAATTGGACCAAAACGGCAAGTTTGGTTGGAATTCACAATAAGTAAAGGAAAAAATGCAATAATGGGCACCATCCAACCTTTTTCATTAAAAATTAGTCGTTCTTGCCAATGGCGAGCGCTTCAGAGACATTGCTACATGTACGCCTTCCTACATGTACGATAATCACGTCTTCAGCCCGCGCGGACAGTCGGCCGAGCCTGAATCAGCCAGCTGTCCCCGGCAAATTCGATGGCAATGCAGTACATGTACTTTGTTCGTCGACACTTCTACGCCAAGTCTGATCATCGTCCCTCGATCTCTGCGCGGCTCACAACGGAAGCACGACGGTACCTGATAGATCGATCCCTCATGCTGCAGTCATTCTTCGGTGACAAGTTGAGTCGCCTCAATCCGGTGGTGCCTGGTCTTATCGCTGCAGCGGTGGTAGTCGCCATCTACTATACCAGCGAGACCACGGAACTGCCGACAATCGACGATGACGAAGACCAGGACGGCAAAGTCACGCCCAAGCGTGTCCGCTATTTGCCGACCAATATCCCGGTGCTGGGCAACGCCCTGGAGCTTCTAAGCAACTCGGAGCGGATCCACGACTGGGTCGCTGATCAAATCGTGCCATTCGATGGCGAACCGTTCACACTCAGTCTTCCAGGCAAGGACGACATGATGTTCATCGCCAAACCAGAACATATCGAGCAGGTGCTGAAGACGCAGTTCGACAACTTTCCCAAGAGCCAGCACATTCACGACGTCTTCTTCGATTTGCTGGGTGACGGCATTGTCATCACCAATGGCGAGACGTGGAAGCGTCAGCGCCGCGTGCTTGTGAACCTCTTTAGCGCTCGTACGTTGCGGGAACACATGACGCCGATCTCGCAGAAGTACGTGGTGAAGCTACGTAGTATTTTCGAGGAGGCCGCGGCGTCGAACAAGCCCATGGACGCATTCGGCCTCATGCACCGCTACACGCTCGACGTGTTTGCGGAGATCGGCTTTGGCACGGAGATGCGCATCCTTGAAGGTCAGTACGAACAGTTCGCCGAAGCCATCGAAGAGTCGCAGTATATTGTGTCTGCACGGTTCAAGCAACCGGATGCACTCTGGAAAACCAAGCGCTGGCTGAACGTCGGCAGCGAGAAGAAGCTGCGTCATGCGATTCAAGTCATTGACGAGCACATTATGAGTATTGTCTCGGGGGCGATTCAGCGCCGTCAAGAGCGCAATGAAGCGATCAAGGCCGGCAAAGACGTTAAACCTGCAGATAAGGACATCGTGTCGATTATCCTGGACTCTATGGAGTCTTATAACCAGGTCGTGGACCCCGTTGAGGTGCGCAACATTGCCGCCGCCGCACTGATCGCAGGGCGCGATACAACGGCGGATGCTTTAGGCTGGCTGCTCCACGTACTGAGCGAGAACCCACGCGTGGAGGCGAAGCTGCGTTCAGAGCTGTTGAAACACATGCCTAAGCTTTCTACTGACGCTACGTACGTCCCCGCCGTTGAAGAGCTGAATGAAGTGCCGTACCTTGAGGCAACGATCCGTGAATTGCTTCGCATCTTGCCGGCCGGCCCGTTGATCGCTACGCATTGTGCCCGTGACACGGTGTTCCCGGATGGCACGTTCGTGCCCAAGAACACGGATATCGGCATCGCATTCTACACGACCGGTCGTCTCACGAGCGTCTGGGGTGAAGACGCGTTGGAGTTTAAGCCTGAGCGTTTCCTTGACGCGCAGACCGGTGAGGTCGCCAAGGTGTCATCGTCCAAATTCTGTGCGTTCAGCGCTGGCCCGCGCATCTGTGTGGGACGCAACCTGGCGTTCCTTGAGATGAAGATCGTGATCGCTAACATCGTGAGCCGCTTCCACCTCGTACCGGAGCCAGATCAACCGAAGCCCACGTACACACAAGGTATCACGCTGGGCATGCAGACTCCGCTCATGATGCGCGTCGAGGCCATGGCATCACAACAGAGGGGTGTTGTGGCGTAGTGCGATCCAGGCATACTGGTATGTATAGAATTGTAGTTGCCAAATTGAAGTGATGAATACAGTCTTTATACGGCGCAAGATGTAAGGTGCTAGGCGTCACACAGCATCACACTGCATGTATAATAACGGCAGATTCCGTTGGTGCTCATGTCACCTGAAGATTGCACAGCGCAAATCGGATGGCGTACGTGGCAGACCCTTACAACTCGACGAGGAAGGTTCCCTCTGCAATTCGGTCGAGATGCCTTGTCGGACGCCGTGATCTATTGTAGGCGACATTGAACATTGGGCCAGAAATTGTAACCCATATGTAAAAAGTCTAATAATTGTCTGTTTGATATAAATAAAAGTGCTATATATAACTTAGTGTCGTGAGAGGGCCATCAATTAGCCAGAAGCATCCTTTAAGGTCAGCGAAAATGTCCGGCAAGCACGAGTTCTGCCCAGGAGAGAAGCGGATGATTGTGAACAGCTACGAGTATTTCAAAAGCCAGAAGGAACAAGGCCTCTTCAAAGGCATCATGACACGCCAACTGGTCTCTGATTGCCTTGGTTGTGCTCCCAACACCGTTGACTCCGTGGTTAATGAGAAAAAGAATAACCCAGACACTGATTTTGAGGTATATCAATTATAACTGATATTGTAACTGTTTGATATAAATAAAAGTGCTATATATAACTTAGTGTCGTGAGAGGGCCATCAATTAGCCAGAAGCATCCTTTAAGGTCAGCGAAAATGTCCGGCAAGCACGAGTTCTGCCCAGGAGAGAAGCGGATGATTGTGAACAGCTACGAGTATTTCAAAAGCCAGAAGGAACAAGGCCTCTTCAAAGGCATCATGACACGCCAACTGGTCTCTGATTGCCTTGGTTGTGCTCCCAACACCGTTGACTCCGTGGTTAATGAGAAAAAGAATAACCCAGACACTGATTTTGAGGTATATCAATTATAACTGATATTGTTGGGAGTTGTGGCTCTTAGACACGCCCCGCGAAGTAACAAACAAACTCCTTGTTTGCAAAGGGAAAATATGAAGACTGAATTACTTTGTGTCAGTTGCTCTGCTTCCTGAGCATTGACCAACACTCACGGGTCTTTGCCCTCTCTCATATAACGATCTGGTTTCTTTGCTGTTCCAGCTTTCTTCAATCTGCGCCAGGCCTCGATGCACAATCCAACACGCCCTTCTCGAAGATCGGTCTTCGATGTCGAATACTGGTCTTCGACTACTTTTCTGCTCCAATGCCTGCAATTAGCAACAATCCTTTCAGTCGCTTCTTGTCCAGAGGCTTGGTGAACGTGTCGGCAGGGTTTGTTTCCCCCCTCACCTTATGCAACTCCACAGTGCCTTTTTGCACTTGCTCTCGTACGTAATGCCACCGTAATTCAATGTGGCGCGTACGTCTGCTGTAGGTAGGATTAGTTGCCATCACGTGAGCAGCTTGACTGTCAATTCCTATACGCAATTTCACATCGTGCTGCGGTAACATCTCTTGCAAAACATTTTTCCCAGCAACTGCCTCCATTGTGGCTTCACACGCTGCAATGTACTCCGCCTCCGCGGTCGACAAAGCGATGACGGATTGTCTTCGTGACATCCATGCTACAGCTCCGCCTGCCAGCATAAACACGAAACCAGTAGTGCTCTTCCTTTGATCTGGGTCATTAGCCCAATCACTGTCACAGTAACCCTGCAACACCAACTCCTTCGAGTTGTTCTTCTTTTTCTCGTACTTGATTCCATAATCCAAGGTCCCGGCCAAGTAGCGCAGCACTCTCTTTACCGTTCCAATATGCTTCGCCGATGGGTTCGCTACGAAGCGACTCAGTTGGCCTAATGAATAAGCCAAGTCCGGTCTGGTACTTGTAGCCAGGTACATGAGCATACCAATGGCTTCACGGTACGGAAAGCTGCCGTCTGCACTCTCCTTCTCTCCAAGAGGTGTGAGCCGTGAATTTACTTCCATTGGATTTCCTACTGCATGTGCATTTTCAAATCCCAGCTTGCCAAGAATCTCTCTTGCGTACTTGCCTTGACTGATCATAATGTACTCTGACGTGTGAGTCACTTCCACACCTAAGTACTGTGTTAACAGCCCTTGGTCCTTGAGACCGTACGTGTTGTCCAAGTCCATGAACAACTGATCTTTGTACTCCTTGCTGTTTGTTGCAACCAAGATATCATCGACGTATACTAGCACGTATACCATCGTGCCACCATCAAACAGGTAGTACAGGCACGGCTCCGTCAACGATCTTTGGTATCCACGCTGAATGAACCAATCATTTAGTTCTGAATTCCATTCTCGACCCGATTGTCTTAATCCATACAAAGCCTTGAGTACCACGTAAGAATGGCCACTCACTCTGCACGGATATCCGTTGATGGAGTGTAGATATTGTCGTATGCCTAGCCATGCATTGAAATAAGCGGTATTCACGTCTCCTCCGTATACCTCTAATCCCAGTAATGCCGCCAGTCCCAACAACAGTCTAAACGAAGCCATTCTTGCCACAGGGGCAAACGTTTCCTTGAAGTCAATGCCTGGTCGCTGGTGATTCCCCAACGCCACTATCCGAGCCTTGAATCTTATCACGTAACCCTGATGATCCGACTTCAAGGCATAGACCCACATTGTACTTACAGGCTTCGCATCTTTGGGCATGTCCTCATCCGGTATTTCTTGGATGACCTTCTGTGCCTTCAGTGCAGCGATCTCTACCATTTCTGCTTCCATCCAATAGTTAACAAACCTGGATCGCAGTGCCTCACGTCTGTTACGAGGAATCTTCACCTCACAAGCACGAATAGGCCGGCCATGCTCATCCAGAACCCGTGAAGTCGCTGCATTCATCACAAAGTCATCAAAGCGTCGAGGTTGACGTCTTTCTTGTACCTCTCGAAGTCCTGTTCGAGTTCTCTTGGTATCTGGCTTTGCGGCCTCGTGTTCCACACGAGCCTCTTCCGACTGAGTTTCATCGCGGTGGGTACGCTTTCCAGTTTCTCGAATGACAACTGGATCAAGACAAACACTAGCGTCCATCTTCTGCGCGTTATTATTGTCCACAACCGCACTTTGATGTTCATCAGTACTCTCTGGGTCTTCTTCAAGCCCCACACCACTCGACGAGTTGTTATTCTCCATTGAGATAGTCTTCTCATCAAATGAGAACACACTTGCTACAGTAATGTCGTCGTCTGTCGGTAATCCTGCTTCGTCGTCATCATCCACCTCATTACCATCCAGCGATGAGCCCCGTGTTCCCACCACAGACTCAACGTCAGCACCATCATTTTGCGTAGATGATTCCGACTGCTTGCCACCAACACAGAGATTTCCTGAGCTACTTGCCTTAATCTCGCTCCTTGGAATGCTAGTAGTAAGATTACATGCGCTCGAAGCTGCATCAGTGAGTGATACTCCGCCATGGCCATCACTCTCGTGTAGATCCGCTCTACCGAGCTCTCTCGTGCTTTCAATCTCATCTGGTCGATTATTTAGAGCATTTGAGACAGCATCTGCCATCTGAACGCCCTTCTCGTGCTCACTGTTAGCCGCTACATCCACCTCGCCTCCCACGAGTCCAATAGACAACTCAGAATTTGGCTCGCTAACCAGCTCCATTGTCTTGGATGTAGCCATTTCGTGGTTCAAACGGTTGTCATAGTCCACATCCTGGTCATCACGTCGGGTAAAGTGCAGTGACTCGAGGTCCTCCTCATCTACAGCACCTTCGTGACGGTCTTTGTAAACTACATCTTCAGCAACCCGTAGATCAGATACAAACCTGGCGGTGTGCTCATCAGGAAAGTAAACTTTGCAGCCTACCACGTCCTCTTCGTAACCGAGTAGAAAGCCAATCTTGGCGTTGTTATCATGCTTGCGTCTTCCAGACGTCACAGGAACATGAACATATGCTAGAGATCCAAACTTCCTAATGTGATGCACGTCAGGTTTCATTCCAAATATCATCTCATAAGGAATTCCTTGAGTGCCACGGTTGTATACCCTATTCTTGACGTATACAGCATTTCGTAGTGCTTCCGGCCATAGACTCCGAGGAAAGCCTGCATGTACCATCGTGGTTTTCATCATGTCCACCAATGACTGATGCGTTCGTTCGCACAAGTTCAATTGAGAACTTTTTGGACCCACTCGGATGTGCTCAATTCCTCTCCGTGCGTACCAGTTTTCCATACCTTTGTTGATGAACTCCCCACCTTTGTCTGTCAGTACTTGCTTCACTTTGTAGACAGCCCCGTTCACATTTCGTCCTGCTTGACGCTCGGCCCAGAGTATGTACTGTTGCAAGTGCTTGTTTACAACTGAACTCTCTTTACTAGTCAACAGAAACACTCTCACGAATCTGGAGTATCCATCCATAACCACTAGTACGGCTTCATACCGAGTCCGATTATCTTTACTTGGAATGAGAAGGTCAGCGTACACAACTTGATTCGGCCACTTTGTTGCCCTGTCCATCTTCTTGCGATGAGCCTTCTTCTTTTGCTTCCCCACATGACATGCGTCACAGATCTGCTGGTGACGCTGAGTCAACATCATGCCTCTCACTAATCCCCGGTCTACCATCGTCTTCAGATATTGTGGACAAGTATGACACATACGCTCGTGCCACAATGCCAAAGTGCCAACCCCTTCGGCTATAGTAAAATTTACCATTGGACGCCGATTAACAGGCTCTTTCACGCTTGTTTGACCTGGATGTAGTCCCAGAAACCCCCAAGTTGCTTCCTGAGGCTTCGCCACTGCTACTGATTTCCCTTCCCAAAGAATAGTAAAGTCCTGAGTATCATGATTGAACGTAAAGTCAAACCCTTGTTCATGAGCAAGTCCGGGAGAGAAGAGCCCGAATTCAGCTCCGGGTATGTAGAAAACATCATCCAGACACATTACTGTCTGCTCTCCATTCACCTCAGTAGTTAAGGCAACAGTCCCCATCCCAGCGATACGAGCTGCAATGTTTGGGGAAATACCTCGAATGCTGCGTAGTTGTGACGCGTCCTCAGTGTAGCTCACAAAATACGAGCGATCTCCGACCACGTGAGAGTTCGAAGCTGTGTCAAAATACCACCAACCGCTAAAGTTTTCATCGACAGGTACTTGATCATTAACTTCCAGAAGCTTCTCATCTACTCCTGTTCCCTGAGCATCGTACAGAGTCTCGTGCAGAGTCTCGTGCTCATGATGAGCCTCAGCCGTTATTAATCCCGTCACTATCCCCTGATCTGCAGGTTCATGCAGTATCTGTGACAGTCCATTTCCTTCTTGGCTGAGTGTCAGATTTCCTTGTGGTTTCCGCTTGGGTTCACTGTTACTCCCAGCACCACTCTTGTTCTCTTGACTGATCGTCAAGTTTCCCTGCGGTTTTCGCTTGGTCTCTCTGTCTCCAGCACCGCTGTTCTTTTCTTCACGCTCCGGACACTTGGCCTTAATATGGCTATCACTCCCGCAGACAAAGCACAGCCTGGCTTTTCGCTGTTTACTTGACTTGTTCTGCTGATTACCATTTCCGCCTTTTTCCGGATCACCACTTTTATCACCTCCGCTTTTATGCCCTCCTTGCTTTCCTTGACGCTTGCCTCTGAATTCCTTCTGTCGAGCAGCGGCTGCAAGAATTAATTCACGAACCCGTACCGGTGTATACACACTTGGGTCCGCGCCATAGCGGATCGAAGATTTCAGACATTCAAACTCGGTCAAATCTGGCAAACTTTCCAACAACATATCCACCATTGTACTGTCTTCAATAGTATGCTGTAAGCCTACCAACTCCGATTTGATGCTGAACATCTTGCAAAGATGGAGATTTGCATCTCCTCCAGAAGCGAGCTTCTTATCCCAGAGATCATTCTCCAAGCGACGAATCGTGTAGGCCTTGATAGCTTCATTCTGCTTTCCTTCAAACAGATTACAGAGCTCTGCCCACATTTCCGATCCGGTCTCCTTGTCGCGAATCTGCTGAAGAATTTCCGGCGGAACAGACGTACCAATCATCCGCATGATCTTGATTTGCTTCTTATTGAACTTCTCCTGGTCCTCTGCACTCGCTGTGGAGAGCATGTCCTTGGTTAAAGTTCCATCAGCAATGTCCTTCAAGTCATCCTCCTTGAAAACGTTCATCATGGCCCATTTGTATGTCTGCCAATCCTTGCCTTGCCAATTCTTCGGCACCCCTTCGCTGGTGTACTTCATCGGCTTACTCATGCCTGCGCTGCCACCACTTGGGCTCATAACCCTGTTGGGAGTTGTGGCTCTTAGACACGCCCCGCGAAGTAACAAACAAACTCCTTGTTTGCAAAGGGAAAATATGAAGACTGAATTACTTTGTGTCAGTTGCTCTGCTTCCTGAGCATTGACCAACACTCACGGGTCTTTGCCCTCTCTCATATAACGATCTGGTTTCTTTGCTGTTCCAGCTTTCTTCAATCTGCGCCAGGCCTCGATGCACAATCCAACAGTCCGGCAAGCACGAGTTCTGCCCAGGAGAGAAGCGGATGATTGTGAACAGCTACGAGTATTTCAAAAGCCAGAAGGAACAAGGCCTCTTCAAAGGCATCATGACACGCCAACTGGTCTCTGATTGCCTTGGTTGTGCTCCCAACACCGTTGACTCCGTGGTTAATGAGAAAAAGAATAACCCAGACACTGATTTTGAGGTATATCAATTATAACTGATATTGTAACACTTCCTTTTTAAACTAATATTTGTACAAAGCCCAGTGAAAACGACAGAGGTCGAAAGCGAGATTATGCCCTGACGGATACCTTTATAATATTTTTCACCATCCTGCTGGCAGAATTGAATGTTAAATCGACAAGGGCAATCTGCGACCGGGCGATGTGTCATCTTCCTTTTTGACATATGATTTTGATTCTAGACCAATCATATCTGTGTATTTGGCGCGCCTTTCCCCCGAAAATGACAGTGTTCTGAGAGGGCATTTTTAAACGACTGTAGCTCCAAAACGGCTGGGAATTGGCTAAAAATTACCACAAAATCGAAATCTAAACGCATGATTGCACCCTATATCTAAATGTCGATATAGGTTTTCCTAAATGTAGACCTCTTATGCCTCTCTAGATTCTGGCCCAATGTTCAATGTCGCCTACAATATAATAAGGCCGTCGTCACCAGCATCTTTTGCAGCGTTGTTTGTCAGGACTGGCGACACAGTATAATCGGCCGGATCAATTGCAACGGCTCCTTCAGTCTGTAAGGATGTTGCAGTCCATGTTCAAGTCTCCCGTGGTGCCGGGTCTTGTCACGGCTGCACTGTTCGTGACGCTTTACTGGACCAAGGCCAACAAGAGCTCTGCGAAGTCCAAAGGTGACAAGGTCAAGTACGCCGTCATCCTGCCGGGCACCCTGCCTGTGCTCGGTAACGCCGTCGAGCTGGCGGCCAACGCACCGCGCATGCACGACTGGCTGGCCGACCAGTTCGCTGCTACGAATGGCGAGGCATTCATCGTACGGCTTCCTGGTAAGGACGACATGATGTTCATCGCCAAGCCAGAGCACCTGGAAGCCGTGCTTAAAACGCAGTTCGATATCTTCCCAAAGAGCGAATACATCCACGACGTCTTCTGCGATATACTGGGCGACGGTATCGTAGTGACGAATGGAGAGACCTGGAAGCGGCAGCGTAATGTCGTCGTCGGACTTTTCAGCGCCCGTGCGTTGCGTGAGCACATGACGCCGCTTGTCCAGAAGTACACAGTGCAGCTGGTAGATATTTTGACGGACGCGGCGGCCACGAACACGCCGTTGGACGTGTTCGACCTGCTGCACCGATACACGTTCGACGTGTTCGGCGAAATCGGCTTCGGCGCCAAAATGGGCTCCATGGACGGAGCTTTCCAGCCGTTCGCAGAGGCGATGGATGAGGCTCAATTTCTGGCCGGAAAGCGCTTCAAACAGCCCATGTGGTACTGGAAACTGCGTCGCTGGCTGAACGTTGGTGACGAAAAGAAACTCAAGGAGAACGTGCGCGTGATCGACGAGCACTTGATAGGCATCATCGCTGACGCCATTGAGCGTCGTCGTCTTCGTGTTGAAGAGAAGAAGGCCGGTCGTCCTGCCGCACTTGCCGATAAGGACATCGTGTCCATTGTGCTAGACAACATGGAGTCTCGTGGGATGCCAGTAGACCCCGTCGAGGTCCGCAACATCGCCGTCGCGTCAATTATCGCCGGTCGCGATACGACTGCCGACTGTATGGGATGGCTGTTCCACATGCTCAGCCAGAACCCGAACGCAGAGACGAAGCTGCGAGCAGAGCTCCTTTCCAAGATCCCCAAACTCGGTACTGACCGGCACTACACTCCGACAGTGGAGGATATCAACAAGGTGCCGTACCTGGAGGCTTGCATCCGCGAACTCCTGCGTCTGTACCCGCCTGGTCCGTTGATCACCACGCATTGTATCAAAGACACCGTCTTCCCGGACGGTACGTTCGTGCCAGCGAATACAGACATCGGTATTGCGCTCTTCTCCTGCGGACGTCTCACCAGTGTCTGGGGCGAAGACGCGCTTGAGTTCAAGCCGGATCGCTTCATCGACAGCGAGACGAGTGACATCATCCCGATGACTGCGACCAAGTTCGCAGCATTCAGCGCTGGCCCGCGTATCTGCGTCGGCCAGACCCTGGCATTTATCGAAACCAAGATTGTGATCGCCAGCATTGTCGCCCGCTTCGAAATGACCCCCGAACCTGGTCAGAATGTCGCCTACACGCAGGGTATTTCCTTGGGCATGATGGACCCTCTCATGATGCGTCTCAAGTCGGTTTAACGCCATCGCCCTCTAAAATTCTGGTAGAATAAAGAAAAATGCCATTGAAAAAAGCATATTTTTTACTTGGTGGAAGAATTTAAAACACACCCAGCTTTTGAGTTCTGTTCATCTACTTCTCCTCCAGTGGGACGCTTTGCCTTCTCAAGTTCATACGCTCCAGGCACGTAAATCTCACTAAGCATGTTCCAGAGTCCTTTCCGTCTTGAGCTGCGAGGAAGCGAGAGATTCTTTGTGCCAGCATCTGTGACGGACGTTCGATAACGTGGTAGCTCACGGTCGCCAGTATTAAAACCAGACCGAATCGCGCGAAGAATCGGTTAAAAAACTTCTTTTCTTGCATGATCGAAGGGTGGTAAATAATGAAACAGTGCAGTAAGTAGACCGAGAAGCTGATTTTCCCCCAGTATCGCAGCACACTCCACTCAAACATCGACGAGACGCAAGACGGACGAATCATCTCGATCACGAAAATAATTGTCAGCTCTACGCTGACAAAAGGGAATCCAGGCCCCGCGGGCACAGGATCCGCATGGATCCAGTCGAAGAATAATCCATCGAAGCACACGCTCACCAGTACAGCAATGGCTAGACCTTCAACTACACGGAGGGCGAGTGTGTGCCACCAGAAAAAGTTAAATTTCGTCTCTTTGATCCATAAATCCGCCTTCACGAAGATGACGGCACCCATTGAACCCATTGTAAATGTGTGGAGATGAGGAAGGAGAGGCATGTGGTGGTTTCTGTAGGCGTAGAAGCCTTCGTGTAGGATCCACACGAATAGTGGTATCGCTCCAATCCACCAAAAGCGACGCATACCCAGCGCAATCGCGACAAAAACTGGGAGCACGAAGTAGTACCCAATCTCCAGCGGTAACGTCCAAAACACGTGAAAACGGTAGCCGGTGTAGAACAGTAGCACTTTGCCCAAATCGTAGTCTGCGGGGTTGTTGATATTATAATTCTGCTGGTTCTGGGTAGACACGCAGGCCAGTACGATCGCCGTCACTGCGAACAGCGGGTACACTCGAAAGAATCGTTTCTGGAAGTAGTCCAACAATGCGATGGTCCACGTTCGAGCGCCAGCATGTTGTGCTAGTAGCTTCATGCTCTTTTTTATGAAAAGCCATGTCAGCAGGAACGATGATAGCACAAAGAAGATGTCCACGGCCACTGCCCCGAGATGCAGTTTGTCGGTGGGGTATTCCTTTGAGTGGTGAATGACAACCAGAATGGCTGCGAGACCGCGAATGCCATCAAAGAACAAGACTTTGGCCGCGCCATTGGGCGCTGCTGGTTTAGCTGCAGTGGGGTTTCCAACCGACAGTTTTGTCCGCTCTACGAACGTCTGGTCCTCCGAGTCTGTCGTTGAATTCGAAGTCTCTCCATCCGAAATCTCTACGACGCTGAGGTTGGTGTCGGCGTCTTGTACGCTCATTGTAGTTTTCGGCGCACTACCCAACATCTTGCTGCTTGGCTTGACAATTCCTTAGTTGCGTGCTTGTGTGCCGATCTCGGCGAATGGGCCACCAGTTTACCTGTGGCTTCAGCGATTACTCCCATCCTGCAAGCACACACTGCGGGTAAACTCCTCGTGTATTTGATGAATTGCATGTACTATTTTCAGAATAACTTTGCTTACCGGTATCTTATAAGTTAAAACATGTGTACCGGTAGCAGAGTGGTAGAGTAATGAAGGTAAGGTATTATGTGCTCGCAGTGGGAGAGTACACGTATTAATACATGGATACTCCTTGTCCCTTTCCAATCTTGTGTCGTGAAGCCTTTGACGCCTTCGAAAGGCTAAGAAGGTACCCATACAGTGACTCGAATCCAGGTATTAATAGCAACTTTTAATACCTGTGCTTGTATTTGAGCTGGAGTCGCTCGTCGCATGAATAGTACTGGTACATGCTTTAATACATGTTCTTTAATAATGATTAAATTATGCAGGTTTGCGACCATATGAAGTGGAACTGACTCTACAGTCTGTTGTTTTAATGCTGACCGGTACATGTACACTGTACATGTCTTTTTGGTGCAGAAACTCCCCTCTGTTGTAATCCCTAGATTTAGAATACAGCAGTTCAATTCACCCTCAATACGAATAAATTTGCAGTTTACAAAAATGACGTCTCGCCCCAGGCAAATATTCCGACTGTGGAGTGCTTAATTATGAGAGAGTATCCATTGTACAGACACGGAAGGCCAACAAAGAACAGTAGCGGCTCCAGTCCTTATTTTCACGAGCGTTTATGGCCATTCTCTTACTGACCCCCCCCTACAGTATACCTTATACATGTCGACGACATCCAGTTGCATCCCCACGAACCTTATAGCCCGCTGACAACACAGCCCGTTGGCAAGATGAGGAGTCTGCTGCGATGACGAGCAAATAAGCCAATTTATCCGCAGCTATTGGATTGTCTTACCGATTGTTTAGTTTTGAATTCATTTACAGTACTATTTAATGCTGCTTTGACTGATGATAAACAATGACCCCGCGATTGGAACTCCCCTAATTAGAAAAATTAAAAATTTCCGTCGAGGCTATGACTACTGAGGGGCTGTCTGGCAGCTGTACCCAGGCTGTCAGCAATTGACTGACTCTAAATGTCTACGGTTCTGTACTAATCACATCAGCTACCTATCTACGAGCCACAAAAATAGCCATCTCAAGATAACATCCCAGGATGAAGCAATTTCTCAGACGGTATTCAAATGTCTGAAAAAGTACTATAATAGATGTGCTTTAACCCCTTAGTTCCCGGCCTCAAATATGAGGGTATATTTTGACCTCGTCCCATATACAGATATAAAGGAATTTGTATGGGGTTTCAATTAAGTCCGGATATCTTGGCGCGGGATCGGGGTGGTAACAACGACTTGCCAGTGTGTATAGTACGGATTCTCCAACATAAAGGAGGGTTTATGTAGTACATTGAGACGATCATATACAACTATGCTGTATAAATAAACATAAGATACGTACTGTTTATTGATTAGCCTATCTTTGTGCTGTTGCATACGTCCAGCAGCGGTGAGTTCATTTATTATAGCCAATAACAAGAAAGATCAAGTGCCGTATCAATTGATTGCTCCTTGCATAGACATGTACGACCAGACGGCGCAACCACTACGCCTCCTCCTCCACCGCTTCATCATCTTCTTCGCTCGACTCCCCAGCACCAGCACCAGCACTTGCTCCGCTCTCGCCTACCTGCTGTCTGCGTCTCCGCTTCTTGCCTGGACGCTCCGCTGGCGCTCGGTCGCGTATCTTTTGGTCGCGTAGCAAGCGGCTCGGGATGTCATTCCCGTTCTTCCAGTCGAGGTGCCATATCTGAAAGCACGTGCGCTCCCTTTCCTCCCTAACAACGTTGCAGAGATACTTCCTGCGGCACAACCTACAGTCAGCGCTATCACCGTGTTAGTATCAAGCATGAACAGCATGTACGTACCTCTTTGGCCCTGCAGAGCATTCTGGACAGTAATACTTCGTATACTTCCGCGGCACCACCTTGTAGATAGCACACACTTTGCAGGTTCTGTGGCGACGCTTCTTTCCGGTTTCAGTGTCGGCCTTGTCTGAGTTCTCCGGCCAGTTCGTGGCCATCATCAATGCAGTCTGAGCCACGTCGCTGCTCCTCCCGTCTTAGACGACGCTCCTCGTGCAGAGTGAAGCGGCTGTACGCTCCTCAGCGGAGGTGGATTTCTAGAATAGGAAAACATAACCAACATAACACATATTAGTAAATGCATTTATGTTGCCAAACCCATCATAGCAACTTACCTCAATCTCAGCGAAAGAGTTTTCATCAACAGCAAGTAGTTGTTCCATGAGTGTCTCGAAGAATGCGGAATGCTTCGGGGATTTGTGCCCATTGGCACGCTGGTTGTGTCGATACACAATAAAGGCGTTCACCAACGCCATGTCCAGCAATCCGAGAAACAAGGTCTTGTAGTACTTTCGTGATTTGTACGAAAGCTGCACGCTGTAGCGTTGCATCCGGAGCTGGTCGTGCACATCAACACCTCCCATGTATCGGTGATAGTCACGAACCAGCTCCGGTGCCGGTAGCTCTTTCATCTGGCCTTTGATACGCCGCACTACAATAAAAAAGCACAATAGTGAGCAATGATACATATATATAAACACACAGGCTTACTTACTGACACTGACTGTTTCTCTGCTGCCACCACTGCTCAGCATGTGGACGGGATTGCGGTCCATCCACATTGCTGCGGTTATCTGCGGAAAAAGCTTATTTTCAGCCAGCTTGATTGTCCCCTGTGGTGGTACTAGCTCTCTCACACCATTCACGGTTCTGTAAGACTTGTCAGTCTTCACATCCTTCGCGTACCCTGCCATACGCATCTGGATCGTACCCGTAATGTACATCCGTCGCTGCAACAGCTCCAACGCCAGCTTCACCGACGTGTAAAACCGGTCTGTGATTACCAAACGCCACGGGGAGGTCGGTGATGGCGGGCACAGCGCGTTCATGTTCCTTAGTACGGCAGCCTCGCCGCAATTATTAGCAGCAGGAATCGGAGTCCGGAGATTACTCTTAACACCACAGTACACCTCGAATCTGAGCAGTCGCACAAACGCACACGATATTAGTAAAAGTAATAAATATGTTGGATTAGGAAATTCTCCACAATGTGGATGTTTGCCCGTCCAACATAAGCACTTAGACCAAAAAAAAAAGTGGCAAGCATTAGCTTGCCACCTTGAACGCACCTCATGCAATAAGCTGTATCTGCACACGCTGCCACGAACACCTTGGTCCCCCACTTGTGCGGTTTGTCCTTGTTGAACTGTCTGGTAGGATTGTAGCGGGATCTTGAAGGCAGCGTAGCTTCGTCAAAGCTAATGACAGGAGGAATCTTGTAGCCGCGCGCAAATGTACGCTGTAAAACCTCGATAACCGGCCGAATCTTCCATACACGATCCGTGCTAGCTTGAGGCGACTTGTTGTTGGAGAAGTGCAAGTATCCCATTATGTGGAAGAACCGGTTGCGGGACATGTACTTGCCGAAGCGTGGCGTTGGCAACGCACCAGCCGGTGTCAACTCCCAGTGAGCAGCAATCCCCTTTCGCACTGGAGACAGCATCCTTGCAATGAGAAGCGCGATGACGCGCAAAACCTCCCACGGTTCTATCGGCTTCACACGTGCTAGTCGCCGACGAATATCTGCGAGGTTCTCTACTTCTCCACCACCACGACGCTGCTTCGCTTGAATCGCCTGCGCACGACCCGGTATCGACTGCGTGTGGTAGCGATTGCTCTCGACGGCAATCTGTCTCCACAATTTTGGCGGTAGGTAGTAGAAGAACAGCGCCAGTGGGTCTTCAGCCACTCCAAGGACGCTCTCAGATGGTCCATAAGGCCCGTCGTAAAGGGTCTTCATACGTAGGATTGTCTCCAAATTTGGACTGGTCTACAAATAGCACATCAAAGTGAGTTAGATAATGTTAACATTATGTTGGACAACGACGGAATAATAGTTGCGTATGTTGGGATAGCGTTCAACATACTTACCATACTCCCAGCCAGAATGTTTCGTCTCCGGCGAACGCGCCGCAATTCATCGGCCACCGACTTGCAGAACGTGTCCGGTAGTTCAGTTCCAACGCAATCGGCTAACTCCTCATCAGAGAGTTCTCCAAGCTCCCAATCTCCTTCCCACTCACTGTCCGCGTCGTCATCGTCTGAATCAGGACCAGATTCCTCTTCTGATCCGAGGCCAGTGCACTCACGTGCACCAGCCGCCATGATGTTAGGATCACCGTCGACTACGCAGGCGACAGGGAGATGCGGGGCAGCTGACGCAGCACCGGTGTCTGTGGTGTCACTTATGGTGCCTTCAGCTTGAGCTTCGC